AGACACGACCTGACTACCTGACTTGGGTCTACACCAGAGAGAACATTGTGCTGAGCAGAGTGGGAGCAGAACCCTTGACCAGGTGGCTAAAAGGGTCCTCACCTGGAGGCCTGAGAGTGGCCAGTGGCCCTGGGGCAATGGGGGCTAGCTGACAGGTTTCCGGGGCTCACCTGAAGCAACTCCCCTCTCGGCCCACTTCTGGGCTTCCCTATGCCCCTTTCCCCACAGAATGTCTCCAAGACAGACGGGGCTGTCCTCTGTACCACAGCACGGAGGAGATGAAATGCTCTTCCCTGGTTCCCAATTCCAATCCTACAGACCCCCACCCTGCCCCGCACTCTTCACCACCCCTTTCTGCTAAGAGCATTCGATCTGAGCCCACCCAACCCCAAACATTCAAACTTTCTGCACAGGGCGGGGGCAGGGCAAATTTGGGACCACCTGACCACCCAAACGACTGATGCTGGGGATGTCCAGGCAGGTAAACTATTGTGGACACCACGGAGGTGTCTCAAGAATTCTGAGGGTGATGTGGAGATGCGCAAGAATAATGACAAGAAACACATTTTAAAAAAGAACCCAAAGCAAGGTTATCCCCATTCTGTGACAACAGCAACCTGAATACAAGTTCGTGGGCTTGGGGACTAAAAGGGACAGACAAAAGGGAGAGCTGTTGTGTTGGCATGGAGAAATTCAGTGTGTGTCACCCCCCCCCCCAGTATTGTAATATTACTTCTACAGTCGAAAAAAACTAAACAAACATACACCAATGCAAAACACACTCTAGTCCTTCACCCACCATCTTCTGCCTGGAATCAAGCCAATGCTAGATGGCATTATTAGCCAAGTCTTCATAAAAGGGCCCTGACCTAAGTTAATTCAAGTCTTTGGAGAGGCATTTAAAAGGAAGAGATGATTTGATACGCATTCTTATCCAAAGCCTAGACCCTGTGGCTGGAGCACAGATGGGGAGGGGAGTCCAGAGCTGGACACTCTTCTCTGCAGGGTGTGCGTGAGCTGAGTGGCAGGCTGGGCCCCTTGGGGTTGAGGGAAAGGTGTGGAAATGGTGTGCAACCTGATGATGAGGCCTGTGCCTGTCTCCCTCGCAGAGCCCGACAGGTGCAGCTCACCTGGAAATGGTCCAGCATTTGCTTCCAGGACAGGAGCAACAGAGCCTCTTTCCGGACTTTCCTGGGGATCTCGGAGTAGAGGAGGGAGTTCTCTCGGCTGCCGTAAGGCATCCCTTTGGGGGAGAGGAAAACAACCAGAATGGGTGACCTGGCCAGGGACAGGAGGGGGTCTCAGGTGGAGGCTGGCCTCAGGCTGGGCCCAGCTGGTTCCTTTTGCTCCTATGTCATCCTGCCAGCGCATCCTGGCTGCACACCCCACCCCAGACAAGCTACAACTGCAGGTTTAAGCACGCCAGCAGTAGTGACAGGGTCTTCCATTGCTGAGATGTTTGTGCTAAATATCTTGGCCTAAATTACTGAAGAGACAGCACACAAGAGAACAAAAAAAGGGTGATCAACTAGCTTCTCGATATGGCAAGTGACATGGGTTTTCCACTTACGATAAAGTTTGCTCATAAAGTATAGTCAGTAAAAGAACATATTTAGAGAAAATTACTAGGTTAGTAAGGGTTCCTTTCAAAATTGATTGAAGGAAAACACAGTTAATTTAGATGTGCAGCTGGGAAATAGTCACACTTTGATCTCCAACGACGCTTTCAGCTGCTTCGACCTGCCTGGTTCCCAGCTAGAGGCAAACATGACACTGCTGGGCTGGGCTGCACATGCGTGTGCTCTGGGCAGCCTGTCCACAGGCCTCTCTGGGAGAGCCGGAGCTTTCCAAACAGGAAGCCAAAGGGGCGGCCTTGCCAAGGACATCAGGGCTGCCTCCCTCCCCAGCAGATAAGTAAGTGATGACACCAAATAGCCTAAGCCAGCACATTCCCTGGATGACTGTCCTCAGCACCTGGGACGGTGCCTGTCCGCGCAAGGCAGGGTTCTGAGATGACCGATGACCGCCACTGATTTCTGCCATCGCTGCCCCTCTCCTGCCTTCTCTTACCAGCTCTACTCCATCTTTAGGACCAGCACACTGCCCCCACCTCCAACCCTCACTGGTGTGGCAGGTGGCCCAGGCCTGCGTGAGTACCACCGCCACCCCTGTGTGCTGTGTCCCGAGAGGCCAGACTGGTGGGGGCATGTGGCCCTGGACCTGGACACAGGACACGAAGACACAGTGGTCTCGTATTTTCCCTCTAAGGGCCCCCAGAGCTGTCTGGGGCCCTGCGCCCTCCCTGTTTGACATGGGATGCCCATGTGTGGTGGGGAGGAGCCAACCCACGTGAAGCGGAAGCCAGAAAGAGAGGGTTTTCTGACGCTGCAGTTTGAGCCCTGGAACCTGAGCTGCCCCAATCCCATCTTCCTGGCAGCAGCAGCCGGCAAAGTCCCTTCTCTGCTCCATCCCGAGTGCACTGGACTTTATCAGGTACGTTTGAAAGAGCCTGCCCTAGGGACCTGGTGATTGGCTCCACATGCCCCAAACGGCACAAGGAGGCAGAGGTCCCGGGGGAGCAGAGGGGGCGGATGGCGGTTAGAGCAGCCAGCTGTGCATCACGTTTGGGGGCCCTTTCTGTTCTACCCACAAAGTCTGCTGGCTGCCAGCATTCGCCTGGGTGCTGGGCTAGTGCAAAGCCATATTATAAATACTGAATGGCTCTAGGGAGGCCTGCCCCAGGAACTTGGGACATGAAGTGAGGTCAAGGGTACCCCCAAGAGTGTTAGTGATACAAACTGAAATCAGCTCAAGGGTGAGCAATGTCACCTGAAAAAAGGCGGTACAGCTCTGGGCACACTTTGGGGTCTTTGCTGCCTCCACAGCCTATGTCTTGAGCTACCCCGATACACTGAAGTGGGCCCTCAGAGCCTTCTGTGGACTTCAGGCACACACCCAATCCAGCCAGACAAGCACACAGGCCGCTGCCTACTGTACATGTAGACCCATGCTGAGCCAACCCGATTCCTTCTCCCAGAAATTTGGAGAAAGCTCGTCCATTTCTGCTGGTGGTAGGAACACTCCTAGAGGTGTAACCCTGGGAGTGGAAGGCAGGTGGGCAGTGAGGGTGGACCAATGGAGAAGAATATACGCAGGGCAGATGCCTGGGCTCCACGCGGCTTGGGGTACCACATCATGAGGTCCGGGGTGGGGAGTGGAGGGGCTCCCTGAGATGCCCTTGAATTCTTACTACAAGGTACACTTAATAGCTCAAAGGACCTTGGAGGATTTCTGTCCCTTAAAGCAGCCCTGTGGCTGGCTGAACAATGGCTTCCAAAGATGTCTGCGTCCTAATCACAGAACCTGTGAATATGTTGCCTTCTGTAGAGAAAGGGACTTTGCAGGTGGGATTAAGTTAGGAATCTTGAGCTGGGGAGATTAGCTTAGATTATCTAGGTAGGCCTTACATGTAATCACATGCCTTGAAGGAAGGAGAGGGAGATTTCAGACACAGAAGAGGAGGCGGTGATATGACAATGTGACCATGGAGGCAAAGATAATAGTAGTGTAGCTGTAAGCCGTGGAATGCTGGTGGCCACCAGAAGCTGGAAAAGGCCAGAAACGGATCCTCCCTTAGAGCCTCCGAGGGAGCGCAGCACGGCCCTGCCAACACTGATTTCGGCCCAGAGAAACTGAGTTCAGAATTCTGGTCTCCAGAACTGAGAGAATAAATTTCGGTTGTTTTAAGCCATCAAGTTGGTAGTGATTTATTACAGTGGCCCAAGGAAACTCATACAAGTATCCTGACCAGGACAGAGAAAATGAGAGAAACGGGTCAGGGGGCCATGAAACTGCAGGAAAAAAAGAGGCAACAGCCCACCAGAGGCCATGACTCTTGGCCACTTTCAGTCCTAACAGCCAGGCTCCCCCTTGTCTAAATGAAATGTGAAGCACATCCAGCCCCAATCTCTCCTAGGCCAGAGCTGGCAAACTGTTTTCCTTACAGGGCCAGATAGCAAATATTTTCAGCTTCGTGGGCCATTATGACCTCTGTTGCAACTATGCTGGAAAGCAGCCATAGACGGAATGTAAACGAGTGGGCGTGCTGGGCGCCAGGAAAACCAGATTTCCAAAAGCAGCCGGCCATCGTTGCTGACCCTCATTCTAGACCATTCCTCTTGCTAACTCTGTGCTTGCCAAACCAACATCTGGTTTCCATGTAGGTCTCTATGGAGAGGGCCTGCACTGACTGGGGGAAGGGGAGAGCCATCTGGTGTCCAGCTCGGTCACAGTCATTAGCCCGGGGTCAGCCTCAGGCAGAAGATGACCTTCATTCATTCATTCCATCTTTCACTCTAATATTGACTGAGGGCCTGACCAGGAGCAGGCCCTGTCCCGGGGACTGAGAATACAGAGACTGATCCAACCAGGAGAGTGCTGAGGTTGAAAACCTGCCTTGGGTCAACAATCATGTGTCACGCTGCTTTCAAACACGCTTGGAACTGTTCCGATCTGCCCTTTGAGACCTATAGGCAAAGTAGGGCAACAATCATTCGCTCAGCAGATACTGACTGCCCACCTACCAGGAGGCCATAGGTGCAGGAGGCCTGCTCCACGCCCTGAAGGCTATCATATGACCAGGCAGGGGACACAAATGCGTAAAACAACTGCAGATGTGTAGAAAGTGCTACTCCAGAGGCACATGCTCGGAGGAGGAAGTAATTAGCAATTAACATGCTTATCCAGGTATCTAGGGCAGGGATAGCAAAAAACGTGGCAGGCCACCCTCTGTCACTAACCCACAGGGCATATGGCAGCTTTCCATGAGCCTCAGGAGCCTTCTTAACGTCACTCCACAGCCACCGCCTACTAGAGTTACTTGTGACTCCCACTGCATAAGCCAAGCCCAGCCCAGCCCAGCCCAGCCCAGCCCAGGAGCTGGGAAGTGACTCAGGGGTGGGCCCAGCTGACTGGTACTGGAAACAATCTCAGTGGCTCAGGCCCATATACCAGGCCCAAACCATAGCACTGTGCAACACAGATGGCATGGGACTGCCCTATTTAGAGGACCCTTGGGCCAGACCTTCATTGTAAACTCATGTCACCATGGGTGGCATGACAGTTTGCTCAGGGCCAGACCCATCTATTTGGACCTTCTAACTAAGAGTACCAGCTCACCTCTGGAAACTACAGGACTTAGTAACAGCCGTCCCAGAAGCACTGCCTGAGGGAGCCTGGAGGGCCCAAGGGGACACTGGAGGGCTCACCTAGGTAGTAGAGGCGGTGGGAGTGGGGGCTCGACTCGTCCGTCTTCTGCACGAACTGGAAGTCATGCGGGGCCTTGTTGACGATCAGGCCCGAGTTCTTGCGGCTGCCGTGGATAATGTTCCGGAGCCCTTCCCATGAGTGCTTTTGCACCTGGAAGCGGGATGCCGGGTCCTCCATCTCTACCGCGTCGCCCCGGTCGGACGTCAGTGACCCAGTGGCCATCCTGTCCGCCCCCTCAGAATTCAGCGAGAAGCTATGAGGAGGAAGGGACAGGTGGGAAGACAATGAGAAGAGAAGTGGTCCCTGAGTTCCATATATAAGCTGCCTCCTCAGCAGACACCCTGATTCTCCCAGTCAAGCCCCACACCATGCAGCTTTCCCTGTCCCTCTAAATATTTCTCAAATTGTTCCACCATGAATGTTAAGATCTAAGCCACCGTCACCTCTCGGCTGAATAAATGCAACTGTCTACAGCTCGACTCTGCATATCCAGTGTAAATCTGATCCCATCACTTAGAACACTTCCTTGCTTTCCCACAGCAACCTAGAGTAAAAACCAGTCCTCACCTTGGCCTTCAACGCTCTTTCCTCTGACCTCCACCAGACTCTTGAACCTCTTCCCATCATCACTATGGCCCAGGAGACCTGGCCTTCTCCCGGCTCCTCAAACAGGCCAGATTCCTTCCCACGTCAGGGTCTTGGCTCATGCTGTCCCTTCTGCCTGGAACACTTTTTCTTCTCTTTACTCAACGAATGTCTAATCAGATCTCAGCTTAACTATCTGTCAGATCCTCAGAAACCTTCTATGACCATCCATAATGAGCTGCTCTCTCCAGCAATCTTTCACATGCGACCTGGCTGCCTGGCCCTCAGAGCATTAGTCACAACGGTTGTCTGTCGATCGCCTGTCTCCATGTCTGTCCTGTTCATGGCTGTGTCCCCAGGACCTCACGTGGCCCTTGGCACAGTGGGCATGCCACAGAGAGCCATGGGAGACACACTCGCCCATGCACAGAAGCCTGAGCACAGAGAATTAATCACCAAACCTCATCATACGTGCCATCAGCTTGCTGTCCTGCAGGGGAAACTCTTGTACCTCATCAGTGGCACTCAGAGCAGCAGGCAGATATTTGCCGGGGACGGGAGAACTCCAGGTGAGAGGATGATGCGCACACCTCCCCTCAGAGGCCATACCTCTCTCCTCCCACTCCAGGAGCAGATGTGGGCATACAAAGGCTCCCTCCCTCCCCCGACCCTCTATGCTGAGCACACTTCTTGACCACACTGGACTGGCCCGGCAAATATTTGTTTTAGGGAAATCTAAACACAGCCGTGGGGACCTGGTTGTGGAAGAGCCAGGGTCGTCTCGTGAGGCCAGCCAAAGTAAGCAGGCTGGCCCTGGTTTCCTCTGGGGCACCAAATGGCTGAGGGCCTTGCTGGGTGCCAGGACTGGGTGCTCTGGGATTAGCAGCTTTGTGAGCACAAGTCCACGTTCACTTGTCGGAAGTGGGACGTGAAGCTATTGCTGCACCTGTGGCTGGGACGGCATAGGTCAAGGGCTTTAGACAAGCGACCGGCAGAGCTGTGCCCCCGTCCTTCACTCAGGTGCCCTCTGATTCCTGGAAGGCTTTGCCCCCTACCAGTGGGACCACTGAAAGACAAAGGACCTCTGCCTGCTACAAGAGGTAGGGGCACAGAGGGACACGAGAAGGGTACCCATGGCTTCTGAGCATCCATTGCAGGCTGATCTTCCAAGTTTCCTTTCTAACTCGATTCCATAACAGATGGGAAGAGCAATGCTTCCCCCGCAGCTCAGTGCTACATGACCCCGTCGGAGCTTGTGGGGTGCAGCGCTGGCGTATCCTGCCCCCCAGCCAGAAGGAGCAGTCAGTTGAGCCCCTCCTGCAGTGGCTTTAAAGACACAGACCACAGGTCAGCAGAGCCTTCAGGGCTCTCGAGTCAAATAAACCAAACTCAGAGAAGGCAGGAGGTTCACTGAGGGGTGTCAGGCGGGGGTTGGGGTGGGGCTGGGCTGGCACAGCGCTCCAGAACCCACATGGCCCCAAGTGCTGCCAGCAAGCCCAGAAAACCAAGCCAGGGGAATTCCTCTCACTGCCTAACCCTTCCAAACTGCCATTACAATTTAAGCCTCGCTTACAGCAGAAAAACAGATCGTGACTTCCAGGGCCCCCAAAGGGGACCCCAGAAGCTAAAAGCCTGGTTAAAGCACTCACAAAATCACATGGCTTATTTCCACAACAAACAGTGGTAAAAAAGATCTTGCCTCCAATCACTGCAGAGAGCCCAAGGAGCAACAATGCGATCCAGGAGATGAGATATGAAATGAAACATCACGAAAAACTTCTAAGAATCTTCTAGATGCGGCCGGGCAGCCTGAGCTCCCAGACAGGCAAAGGCTTGGTGCTACAGCCTGGCCCTCACTCACCTCTCTCCTCCCCACAGGGCAAAGCCCTGGCTGCGGGGAGACACTGGGGGAAGAGGAACAGGTGGACGAAATGGGGCCCTGACGAAGCAAGTCAGTGCCAGCCCTTTCCCATCCGGTGCCAGCCTGTGCTGGGCTTCTCCAGTCAAGAGTTTACACAGCTGGGAAATGAAATTGGATTGCAAGCCACTTAGGCCAGGTCCACCTACACTTTCCTTCTGCCAACCGATAGGGTGCCTCACAGCTCGTGGTGCCACCAGCAAACTACACAGGACCTCCCGGTTCAGTCATTGTCACGGCCCGTTGGAAGTTCTGTAATCTCTGTCTGAGTTGGTGCTCCAAGAGCTGGGGCCACCGCCCCCTGGGGCATCTGCCAGAGACCCAAGCAGGGCCTGTGATAAGGGAAACAGGAGGAAGGCAAGAAGGAACTGTGGATTCTCGGTGCTGGCTACAGGTCTGCAAGAGTTCAGGCTGACCACAGAGTGATAAGTCAAGAAGGAAGGTGGGCGCTAGGCAGGTGCCAGGCAAAGGGGAGGTGAGGGGTGGGGGTCTATGCTCCGGAGGGAGTGGCCCTCAGGACACTCGCTGTGTGTCTGCAGCTGAGGGTTCCCAGGATACAGCAGGCCACCCTCTGCCTGTTCCTGTGCTGCTCCTGCATAGCCGGGGCCTCCAGCTTTGACAGCCAGCTATACAGTCAGCTTGCAGTCCAGCCTGAGCCCACCCGTGAGAAGGGAGGCATATGAGAAAGGAGATGCGGGTCCCCTCACTAACCGACCCCCTGCCGCATTCACCCATCAGACATGGGGACTGCCTGTTTTCAGAGCTTGCGTCTGGGGAACAAATCACCATGCTTAACATCATGCCTGTCTTCCAGAACCATCTTCAGTTCCCTTCCTGCCTCCCCAATGACTTGTGCTCAATAAAAGCAAACGAGCCTGAGAGTGTTAGAAAACTGATACTGACATAGGTCAACTCAGTCGAGGAATTCCTGTGGTCCCTTCATCTTGTGCCAGGCCCCAGACATGGAATTTCCCAAATGCCCAGGTCTGTGTGTATAATTACCTGTAATCCTCACTGTAACCTTGGGTGGTGCATTCTGGGATCAGCTCCATTTGGGAGACTGGAAAATGGGCTCAGAGAAGTCAAATGGCCCCACCAATGTCACCCCACAAGAAAGGGGAGGGGAGCCCAAGTCTGTTGGATTCAAAACCCACGTCCTAACTACCAGGCCAGTGTTCTCAACTAATCCGTCCCCAGGGGACACTGAACAATGACTGGGGTGCTCCTGACATCAAGTGGGTGGGGGCCAGGGATGCTGCTCAACACCCCACAAAGAGTGATCTTGCCCTGCTGTCAGCAGTGCCAGGGCTGAGAAACCCTGCACTAGCCCACGCTGCCACCTTATGCAAAAGAGTCAAAACTTCACTTTGAGTAAATGCAGACATGTAGGGGGTGGGGGAACCGAAGGCATCTCCCCAAACCTAAGACTGCAATGCCCCCAGCAACCAGGGCTCCCGCAGCTGTGCCCCTTACCTCCTCCAATTTCCTGTGTTTGCGTTGTCCAGGCGCAGCTTCTTAACCGTCCGCATTAACCACTTGGCTGACCTCAGGTGGGTGGGGGAGCCTGGGAGGGGAGAGACCACAGGGTTGCAACTCCTAGCAGGCAGCCCAGAGGTGCACGCTCTCCCCCTTTTCTCCCCCCTCCCATTTCCCCAGGCAGCCTTCCATGCCTCGGGGAATACCCAAAGCCAAGGGCACTCTGATGAGGCAGACGATTTGGGCCCTGCCCTGAAATTTGAGAGGTTGCCTGGCATTTGCCAGATACTAGCATCTTTTTGCCGAGGGGTTCTCCCAAGGTGAAGTTCCTGAGAAGATGGGAGTATCAAATGACTCTGAGGATGCCATCCACAGACACTTGCCAGAAATGAAATAAACCCAAATTCTCCATTGTGGCTGCTCCTTGATGGACTTCCTGACCTCACCTACTCCCCTGCCCTTGACTATGATCTCTAGCACGCTGGCCTTCCTCTCCCCTAAACAGACCGCTCATTCCTACCTCAGGGTCTTTGCATTGGCCAGTCCCTCTACCTAGGACACATTTTTCCCTGCTTTTTGTATGACCTGCTCCCTCTATCTTTCGGGTCCCAATATCACCTCTTCAGAGGTCTTTCCTGGCACCCAAACCAAAGTTGCTACCTTGTCACCCCCATCACAACACCTGGTCTTTCTGCACAGCACTCACTCTAGGAGAGTGGTTCTTAATGGGGGCGATTCTGCATTCCAGGGGACCCTTGGCAATGTCTGCAGATATTTGTGGTGTCACCACTGATGGGGATGGGAGCATGCTACTGATATCAAGTTAGTGAAGGTCAGGGATGCTGCTCAACACCCCACATTGCCCAGGACAGTCCCCCACAACAGAGACTGATCCGACCCCAATGTCAGCAGCGCTGAGGGGGAGAAACTCTGCATTCATTATTTGGGGAAAAAATTGAGTTCGATCCTTAGGATCACACTATGCAGCACCCAAATAAATCCCCAATGGTCAGATGGGGATTTATAAACCAGAATGACCCCCAGCATCTGTGAGTCACCTCCATCTTCCTACTCAGTTCATGTTTTTGTTTTTGTTTTTTTTTAGCTGAGCCATCCTGCCACCTGTTGGCAGCTCAGCGACTGCTCAGCTCGGGCTGGACTCGAACTGTTGTTGCTCAGAGCTCAAACTCTTGAGCGAGCTCTTAACCAACTGAGCCACTCGGTCAGCCCCAGTTCATGTATTTAAATGTGTGCAACATCGTAGGACCTCAGAAGGTCAAATGATTATAGAACACAGTGCCTCCTGGGGAGTCAATAGAATCCTCTAACCCAAGGGATCTCAACCAGGGCCTATTTTCCCCGCCAGAGGACATTTTTAGTTGTCATGACTGGGAGGCATGTTACTGGTAATCTGATTGGAGACACAATCCCACAATGCACAGGATGGCCCCCTCTCCCACACACTGCAAAGAATGACCTGGCCCCAAATAGCACTGGTTCTGAGGCTGAGAACCCCTGCTCTGGGTGAGTGAGCACTCCTCACTGGGATGCCAGCTCCAAGGGGTCAGGCCCATATCCATCCTATTCCTGATGTATCTTTTTTTTTTTTTAAAGGTTTTTTTTTTTTTAATTGGGGAATTGGGGGAGGGGAACAGACAAGTTGCTATCCTTTTGTTCTTCAGTCTAGTTGTGGAGGACCTTGCTTCACTCGCCCATGTTAATATTATCATTGTGCTCTTCCAAGCTGAGGCAGATCGGTTGCGAGCCTCTGGACGGCTGCTCACAGCAGCTCTTGGCAGCTCACACTGGCTGCCAGCTGCTCATGCTAGCTGCCGGCCACACACAGTAGCTTATGGCAGCCCACTGCAGCAGGGGCTGCAGCCTACGCCATCGCCGGCGACTCACGGCAGCTTAGCTCCAGGTCAAGCTGTTGTTCACCATCTTAGCTGTAGAGGGCAGTGTCACTCACTGGCCATCATGTGGGATCTGAACTGGGGCCCTGCTGGTCAGAGCTGGTGTCCCAAGCCAGCTCTTAACCAATGCGCCACTGGGCAGGCCCCTTCCTGATGTATCTTGAGCCCAGAGCAGTGCCTGGCACATAGGAAACACTCAAACATTTTAGGTTGAGGGAAAGTCACCGTCCTCACTTGAATGCTGTCTGAAGTGAAAGGGACCACTGGTTTGATCAGCACCCAACCACCTTCTCGACAACCTAGGGTCCCAGGGTGACAGGCAGATGCCCAGTTGCTTAAAGAAAGCTGGATGGAGATCATACAGAAAAGGTGAAGCAACATGTCACCATAAAGAACCCATAGCTTCACTCTCAGTGCAGTGGTGAAAAGAGTGGATGTCAGAGAGATATTGGCTCAGATCCTGACTCTGCCACTATGGGCTGTGTAACCTTGAGGAAGTCACTTAACCTCTCTGTGCCTCAATTTCTGCAGCTATAAAATGGGACCGCAGGAGGGCTACTCTGAAGATTAAATGAGACTGTGCAGATAAAGCACCTGACATAGCAGAAACTATATGACTGCCAATATTGTCAACTAAACAAGTTATTTAGTATCACACCAAGGGGAGAACTGGATCAGAATTGGACTAAAGTCCCTTTCAGGCCCAAAATGCACTTGTTGACCAAACGCCAGGCACTGTGTTAGGTGTGGGAAGGTGCAGCCACACCTCTGCCAAACCTAGCTGGAATCAGCACCCTCCCCTTTTCCTCCCCCAGTGTTTCAGGGGGTTCTTACCAGGGTCGCTGGAGGGGGGTGCTGGATGGAAAGAAAAGTCTCCAGCAAGAGTGCACAAAGCTGTAGCGACTGGCCCGGGTCCCAGCCAACGGTCCTATCGGGCAGTGACCCCAGAGTTACAGAAAACCACTTCCTGCTGACTTCTATATCCTGGAGCAGGCAAATGAATCTCACCAGCCCACACCCAGCCTTCCTGGCCGCCCCACCCCAGCACAACTGACCTTCTAAAGGGTCCAGAAAGTTTCCATTCCAGCTGCAGGCATGGGACACAGACCTTGACAGAGTAAATGTGTCATTAATGAGGTGGGTTAATGGAGGGACTGCCTAACCACTTGCTCTACTTCCACTGGGAGTGTGGATTGTTGGACTTGATTTCTCTCTACCTTAACTGATTCTAGCCACGCCTCACAGCCCTGTGATGCTGTCTGCATGCCCTGAACCGCACCTAGGGGAAAGGTCCTCCCACGGAGCCCAGTTCTCCCAGGACTCAGCCAAGGATGACAGGGATTGGTGACCACAGTGCAAGTCTGGGCTTTAGTCCCAGCTCCTCGAAAGCAGGTTCGTTCTTGCCGCTGAAGCAAGTGACTTCCTCACGGTGGGGGATGGAAAGGTTGACAGGAGTCGTGGGAACAGGCCGCTTCCGATGGCACAGCGGCAGCATGGATGGGAAAGTGTCAAGGGTGGTCTGAAACTGTGGGAAGAAGGTGGGCGGCTGGACAGGCCTGGGAGGGGAGAAGCTGAGAGAAGGAGCTGGACCCTGTGGGGATGTGGGTGGGGGGAGACCAAGCACTGGGGAGGAGGCAGGACGAGGGTCAGGAAGATGGACTCTGCTTTCATACAGAGAACATGTGTTTGTATGGGGAGGGGGAAAGGTGGGGGCCTCCAGAGCCTGAAAGGAAAGGAGGGCGTTCTTGGGTGAGGCCAACCCCGAGGGGGCCAGAGCCAGGTGGCTTGGGCAGCGATAGAATGGGTAGAGTGGCAAGGCCCGGCCGGGGAGAGAATGAGAGGTAGCCCAGGCAGAGGAGTGGGGGAACGAGGAAGACGGGGTGAGGAGGAGCCGGGGCGTAGAGAAAACCGAGGTAGAGACTGGAACGACCGGGAGTCCGGTGCACGGCGGGGCCAGTATGCGGGAAGGCAGGGGCGGAGGGCACCGGGAAGGCCTGTCAATGGCGGGTCCAGGGTCAGGGTTAAGGTGGGGCCGGTCAATGGGGGGTTCAGGTTCGAGGCCGAGGCGGGACAGGGCGCACGGGTGCTGCTCACCGGGGCTCGGGGCTGGCGCGGGGCGGTGGCCAGGCAAGGCAGGGCTTCCCGGGGCCGGAGGAGCCTCAGGCTCGCGACTCCATGCCAGGGATTGCGGCCCCGGAAGTGGAGGGCGCGGGGGACAGCGGAGACGGCGGACACGGGGGAACCAGGCGGCTCAGGCCCCTTTGACCCGGAAGTCAAGCTGCCCAGGCGGTGGCCAGGGATTGGCCACCGCCCGGCCGGCACCAAGGCTGCCTCGGCACTGGGGGGAGACGTACAGGCACGGCCCTCGAGGACAGTGGCGTGGAACGTCCCATGGGCGGTGTCTTCTGGTGCTTGCAAAGACGCAAGGAAGAAACACCCACACATAACTTGGTATCGTCCAGCCAATCCAATCATTTTTCTACTAAGGTTTCCTGAATGAGGAGATGTCGGCCAGGGCGTTGGTGGTATAGTGGTTAGCATGGCTGCCTTCCAAGCAGTTGACCCGGGTTCGATTCCCGGCCAACGCAAGGTGTTCTTGTGGCTATTCTTCGTTTAACTTTACCTATTTAAAATTTTCTAGTGAAGTTATGGAACTAGAATTGCTATTACTTTGTAGTAACTTTTAAATTTCAATAATAATTTCTAAAACGACAGAGGACAGGAGGAAGAAGTAATGTAACCAGAATCCTTATTACTGTTACTCTGAAGTAAAATTTAAAATTCTGTTATAAGCAAGGACGACAATTCTGTTTCCACCCAGGATCCAACTCGGGACCTTTATGCATGTGAGGCAAACGTGATAACCATTACACTACAGAAGCAAGTAGAGTTCAGACTTCTTGAGATCACTATAAAAAGATAATGTCACAACAATTATTACACCGTAGTTCCTGAAATGAACAGTTTCTTTTGGTTGCTGTAGTCGGAGATGATTTCCACTTTTTCCATCACTCTACTTGATGTAGTGGAAGATGGAAGGAGGAAAATATGCAATAGACATACCAAACATACGTCTTTATTACTTTATCGTCAACACATGTCCTATTAAAGCAAAGACAAAAATTGCTCACAAACCCATTCTGAAGCTAGTGTTTCATTAATTCACCTCATAGCATCTTTATTGAAAATATCACCTGAGTGTCTACAGGTATTTACAATGTTCTATGAGCCCAAGTCACTTTCTAAAAGAACTTCCTGAAAAGTATTTTATTATTTATTTATTTTAGCTGATCCATCCTGCCACCTGTTTGTTAGCAGCTCAGCTCAGGAATTTAACCAGCAACCCTGTTGCTCAGAGCTCACACTCTTGAGTGAGCTCTTAACCAACTAGAGTCATTTGGTCAGCCCTGTGAAGTATTCTTATCATCTGCATGCTAGGTGCAGGAAATTTGGAAGAAAAAAACCAAAAACACAAAAAAGCCTGATATAAAAGATAATTAAAGTCACTTTTCATCTCATAACCCAGAGCTAACTTTTTGCATTTTAAAGAGGTCTTCTGTTTGTTTGTTTATTTGTTTAAGTTAATGGAAGGAAAGGGAGGTTGTGGCAAGAATTTAGGATCAGACTGCTGTAAAATGTGTTTCCTCACCACCACAGGGCCAGGATTAGGGTGAGAAGAGTAAGGCACTGGCTTCAATTGCAAAAACTAAGGGGGAAAAACTGAATAATCAAGACAAATAATATTTTAATGCACTATTCTAAAGTATCACATTAATAACAGAATAACCCCATAATGAACAAAATACCAAAATTTTAAATCAAGACAGGTTTTGGCAGTGTCTTGCCAAACCATATTGGAGTCTGAGGCAGGTGCAAAAATGTGTGCCCCTCTATACTTGTTTTTACATATTTTTAATGGCTATTTTCCCCCAGAACATTATTTAAAAGATAATGAAACTTAAAAGTAGGTATATTAAAAAAATGTTAAGAAGTTATTATAATTTTACTTTCCTGCATCTAATGGAAGCAAACACTTTATAACATTTTCAACATCTACTTCTGGGGAGGAAATTAGCCATTAAAAAGATACATAAAACATATACTGAGAGACACATATTTTTCATTTTGCCTCAGAGCCCAATTGTCACATAGTAATATATCTTAATACTTTGTATTAGTTTCCTACCACTGCTATGACAAATTACCACAGACACTGGCTGAAAACAACACAAGTTTATCTTACAGTTCTGGAGGTCAGAAGTCCAAAAATTGGTCATAGGGGCTAAAATCAAGGTGTGGGAGGGCTGGTTCTTCTGGAGGCTCCAGGGGAGAATTTGCTCCCTGTTGCCACGCAGCTGTCCAGCCGTCTTCCCCCCGTGCTTACCCCTAAACTGACCCTTTTGAGGACACTGCTCATATACTTTGCATCTCCCTGTTTGGCCCCAAAAGATGGCTGGTTAGTCAATGACAGGTAAGATTCCTCGAGGAAGGAACAACCTAAGACAGGCACAGTCGCATGGGGGCCATCAGGAGAAATCTCGGGGCTGATAAAGGTGGGCATGGGCCCTCACCCACCCCCAAATAGACTGGAGGTCTTCTACTCCTGTAGCTACATTCCTTCCCTCACCCTGCTTGGGAAGTGACCTGATGATCTGTCCTCAGCATAATAATCTTATCTTCCTGGGGTCTATGAGTATAGGGTATGTGAAGGCAGAGCATCTGTCTTATCACTGCAGGCAGACTCTCAGTAATAGCGGTTTGCAGGCATGGGTAATCTGGCATGAGCAAGTTCTCAAGAATGAGACTCACAGACTGTGGAGAGAACAATGCTACTTCCGGGTATGTGGAGAAATAAAAGCGGTGTGTCGGCCCGATTCGGGGCTACTTAGTCCACGAGGCTGGAGACCCTTGGCCCCACGCTCATTTAACTATTGGCTGCTGTTTCTTTTATTTCTTAACCCTTTACCGCCCTCTCTCGTTCTCCCACTGCCTATGGGACGCGACTGTTCCCTTGCCTTTTCCAACTTCTAGAGGCCACTGCATTCCTTCAGTCCCGGTGGTCTTACAACACTCCAACTTCTGTTCCATTTTCACATCTCATTGACTTTGACTCTGTAGCCTCGCTTTTATAAGGATCCCTGTGATTACAGCAAGCCCACCTAGATAAGGCAAAATAACCTCAAGAACCTTAACTTAATCCCACCTGCAAAGTCTGTTTTGCCAGGTAAGGGAGCACAGTCACAGGTTCTTGAGATTAGCATGTGGACTTGGGGAGAGAGCATTATTCTGCTGACCGCATCTTCCCTCCTCACTAAACATTCTTCTGTAACATTACTTTTGACAGCTGTATAATATTCCATCCATTCATTCATTCAACAAGTATTTATTGACCACCTACTTTGTGAATTGGGGTGGGGTGAGTGGGAGACAGGCCAGGGAAGTTCAAGCTGACCTAGGGCTAGTGATGAGGGGGCTGATCTGAGGGATGTTTAGAACCTACTATTGACCAGACTTACCACATCACACACACCAGGATGGCTATCATCAAGAAGATAGGGCTGGCTGCCAGTTAGCTCAGGTGGTTAGAGTGCAAGGTTGCCGGTTCGATTCCCACATGGGTTGCAGAGCTGCGCCCTCCGTAACTAGACTGAAACAACTACTTGACTTGGAGCTGATGGGTCCTGGAAAAACATGCTGTTCCCCAATGAAATTTCTTTAGAAAGAAGAAGAAGAAGAAGAAGGAGAAGGAGAAGGAGAAGGAGAAGACAGACAATGACAAGTGTTGGCGAGGATGTGGAGAAATTAGAATGCTTGCACATTACTGGTGGGAATGGAAAATGGTGCAGCCACTATAGAAAACAGTCTGACAGCTCCTTAAAAGGTTAGATGTATAATGACCATCTGACCTGGCAAGTCCACTCTTAGGTATGTACCCAAGAGAACTGAAGACATACATCTGAAGACAGAAGATGGGACATACACAAAAATTTGTCCACGGAACTTGTCCACGGATATCCACAGCAGCAGGATTCACGATAGCCAAAAGATGGAAACAGTGGTGAGGGGCTTGTGAGGTCAGGTAGATATTCTGGGGGAGGCTATACACTCAGAGAGGTACCTTGGATGAAAAGGATGATAATTCCGTCTTTCCACTAGGTGTCAGCAGGAGCATAGCCCACAGAGCATCGCAGTCTTCCCTCACCCCCAACATCGCCCCCTTCCCGCTGCCCACCCCATCCTCCCATCCAGCTGCACTCCCAGCTCCAGACCTCCGCATCTCAAAGTTAGACCCTCCCGAAATCAGTATGGAGGCACCTCAAAAATCTGAAAATGGAACTACCTTATGACCCAGCAATCCCACTCTTAGGTATTTATCCAAAAAATCCCAAGA